ATTTAAGTGAGTATTATTGAAAAAAGGTTTTCTAAAAGAAGTTAGCATATTTTACTTAAAATTGTTTTCAAATTCACAAATTTTAGGCATATGTTTAGTTCTCCAATATTATAAAAAGTTTATTTGAAAAAAAGTAGTATTTGACAATGTAAAAAATTAAGTTCAATGCTTGTTTATTTAATTAATTTATTTATTATTTATTTATTTTTTTTGGTATGACACATATTTGGCGTTTTGAACATTGAAAACCTCAATAACTTTACATTGATTTGCAATATCAAATTACTATTCACGTTTTTTGAAGTCTCTCTTTGGGGCAAGCGCTGCTTAGTACTCGTATTATACTTCTCAAAGTACAGATACAAATTTTCTTAAATAATTCAGTATAGAACATGGCAAGAACAATACAACCATAAAGTTATAAATATATATATTATAGTCTTAAATTTATATAAATTTGAGATGAGAAAGGATATGGAGAAAATTATTCTTCAGCTGTGCAAATGCACATAGTAACTTTGGGGAAGGCATTAATAACATTTAAAATTACATACTTTGTTTAATTCACTTGTTTATGAAGTTCCATTTTTAATGGTGGTGCCTCAAATTTTAATTCAGTTTTACGCTCTACATACTAGCTTTAGTCTGTTTATAAGAAAATATTTATTGATGATTATGTGATGCTTTCAAAAAATATTTTAAATTTTTTGTGGCAAGTCCAACTTCCTAGGCAAACCAATATCAAAGTTATAACAGAACTAAGTATACAAAAAAATTCTATAGGTTTTCCAATTTACACTTACCACTAACTATAATACGGTTTGCCATTTGAATGTTTTGGAAGAAAGCTCCATAAATGAAATGAAACATTTTATATCAAAGAAACAAATATTGCCTTAACATAAGTAATATTACAAACAATCGTTAATTACAAACTAAACTGGAAAAGAAATAAATAATCAATAGAAAACTTTTCTGCGTCAAAAAAAACCGAAAGACAAAATTGTATATACTACACATAAACCTTTAAAGATAGTTTACAATGTAAAACTTAGAGTTGAGAGTGTATTTTTTTTTAATTTTCTTCTGTTCACATGTCGATGGTCCTCTGCAATAACGACACAATTCAAAACTCAAAAAACCCCTCACTGCTTTATAAAGATTTAGAAAGAAGTATACGAGGGTTAGATGCATGTTCAGTAGTAAGCGGTTTTTTTCAAGTTTTTAATTGTGTCGTTATTGCGCAGGACTATCGAATATGTATCAGTCGCGAGTGAAACTTTAGAACTTACAACTTGACTCCAGCTGATATCTAGTCTGGTCGACAACCTCGTAATTAACACAAATTATAAGGATTTCGCGTACGCATAGAGTAGAGAAGAGGAAATGGAGAGAGCAATGTAACACCTGATTTGGAGAGGAAGTTGCAAATCCCTGCTGAAAATTTTTCTGCAGTTTATGAAAATATTGAAAATTTGTTCTGCTGATTTTTAAGTTTCAAATAACATATAAGAACTCCAAATGTTTGCATGTAGATAAAATTGCGATCAGCTATACTTTAAGTCCATTTCTACCAAAACCTTAACTGCAGTTAAGAGCTAAGATAAGTTCCAAGAATTTTACTTTTGCTATTTTGCCTTCATGCCGCTTGTACTTATTATGAGCAATTATTCCCTTCGAATCGTAGTCTCCTTTTCCCAATAGGCTTAGACTGCAGTTAAGGCTTGCAGGAAATTAACTATTAAACTCTAAATTTTTTGCTAATTTTGCGTTCGCGTACTTTTACGGTCATTTAAAAATTCTGCAAGCTTCTGATAGATATTTTTCGCTGAAGATATATTCGAACAGACTAATTGTAAGCAAAAGGCATTTCAAAATGCATTCTTACCCCCAAGTGGACATTGTAAACGCTGCTTAAATAAGTATTTTCTAAGAGCAATCTGCGTATGTATATATATACACTAGGGTGGTCCAAAAATGTTTCAAATGTTAAGCTCTCACCCTCAAGGATTTTTCTAAATGAGAGGTAAAAATTCCCGCATTTTTGGTAAAAAAAAAATTTAGAACTGCCTTAAATACCAGGAAGTTTTCCATGTATTTTATACACTTTTTCCTAGTAATGATATAGAATTCATGAAAATCGATATTTTTCGATCGGAAAACTCTGTTTCTCTTCAGGACTTCCAATAATAATACCCAATCGTTTATTTTACCATTTTTTAAGGGGTGAGAGCTTAACATTTTAAACTTTTCATTCCCGCATATAATATAAACATATATATAATTTAATTTTAGTTTATTTCAAGCATATTTGCTAATAATTATTGAGTTTGCCAGTATTTCATGCAAACGATTTAATAAGAAAAACGTCTACACACATACATATGTAACATATGTATTTACATATGTGCACTTCAGACTTGCTATTGGCATAACACAATCTTTTAATACGAGTTTTGTGTACATCTGTAAAGATAATTTCATGTCTTATAATTTCTTCAAATTGAGCATTTAATGAGAGCAAGAAAAAATTATTTGTGATCGAAATCTAAAATAAAGTTATGATAAATACGTCTTTTATAAATACAAACATACATATCGAGGCCTAACCGCCAAAATAACGTAAGCGAATTTTTTTTTTAATTTTGTTTTTATTGAGAAATATTCCTAGAGAATCTAGATCAGCCCTGGGCAGCGTCCGCCCGCGTATACATACACGCTCAGCTTGAGTAGCAGCGAAAGTTTCATTCAACCCCTGCAGCAAAATTTAGGGACAGTCTGGCAAAGCGCTAGTTCCGCCCTACAAATTTCAGAACTGTCTCTGAACTACTGAAAAAGGGATGCAGAGTTGGACGGTTGAAACTCATATGTTGCTAGTTGCGCTGTCATCAATGTTACTCATCCTGGTCATGTGAAAGCTGACAAAAGATGCACAAATGTAATATACTATATTTTTTCGATTTTCTTAGACCCTAAAAGTAATAACAAACTGTTTTCGTTTATTTAATATGTAATTCTCTACATAGTTTATGGGGCAACTGCTCAAATATTTCCAAAAAAGTCGTTATTGGTACATTAATGTCATTTTTATACATATCTACGTACGTATGTATAAAATACGAATAAAATCATATAAACCGTGTTTTAAAACTTTATACAAAACAAAGTTAAATTTAACGATTTTTCGTCAAAATGTTTGACCTTTTAATCAGATGTAAAAAAATTTGCAAAAGTGGTAAACAATCGCACTTTGAAATGGGAGTGCTATTCATATGAACGATAATGTACATACGTAAATGTATCACTAAGCCCCCGAAATGTGTAGTTATGCATTGATTTTTTTTTTAATTTCCAATGTTCTTCATTTTCAATATTTTTCGTTTAGTTTTTATTTAAGTACTATGTCTCATACTCCATAAACCATTTAAATTCAAATTCCTAACTGTGCTGCAAACTTATAGAACTCTAAAAACTGTCTTCAAAATTTCAAATCTTTAATCAGATATTTTTTTATAAATATTTCGAGTATTCTGTTTTGTAGCCCATAGAATTTTAGTGTAGTAAAGTGTAATCTTGCATCTTAAACGAAAATATTTAAATAGGAGAATGCCTTCAAGAGCGTGCGTAAAAAGAGTTATAAAAAATCAGCGCGATTAATTATACTAAAATTTAATGGGCTATAGAACTGCATACTTATAAACTCTGATTTAAAATATTGAAGTTTTTATAACAGTTTCTAGAATTCTACTAAATTTCCAACACAGTTAGAAACGTGAATTTATTTGTTTATGTTATAATACTTATGAGCCATCCTTAAATAAAAAATTTACGAAAAATATTTAGCATGAAAACTATTGTGAATATTCACAATTCTATATTTCTTATGAGATGCCGGAAAGTCCATGTATTGCATTTCAATAAATTTAATGCAATTTAACGCTGAGTTATCACGAATAATCATTCAATATATCACCGTTTTTCTCATTTTTTGACACGACTTAGTTCAGATTTTTAATTATAGGTATCCCAGAAATACCCATTATACGTAACAAATATAAATCATTTTTAAGAATAACGGTTTTAGAAAATAAAGGAATAATTGACACTTTATGTTCCTAAATTTAAAGCACAGTTTGCGTCAAAAAGTAAATTAGTTCAAAACAAATAGCTCTTGAAACATATAATGAAGTATTTTTATTTACAAAATTGTTTGCGTGCCTATTTAAAGAAGAGGCTCCATACTATACTTATTAGAACCAGCTCAAAACTAACCACATTTTTTCTAGCCCGGAGGTGACCCTTTTTGAACTATCTAAGAACTGTTGTTATATGAACTGTATCAGAACCATCTAAGCCAGAGTCAGCTCAGAACAAGTTCAAAAGTTCTGCAGAGGGCGACAATTGTCACTTCGTAGGACATCGCCATGTTAAAAAAGACAGTTGCAAGCATTGAGTTGGGATAGATGAAGAACCAGTACCGTCCCTTTTCAGGCTAGCTCAGCGCAAGTTCTGAACCAGTTTGATTTGCTGCAGGGACTGCACGACTTGTTCGCACGCACACAGTCACATCAATTGCACGCACACTACAAAAATGCTCTGCAGAGGCAGGCCACCTCTTATCTAGATGCATTTCTGCATCAAAAGCAAAATTTTGAAAAAAATTTCACTTACTTTATTTTGGCGGTTAGGCATCGATATATCAAATAATTCCTATCCGCCACCGAAAAATATAACACAAAAAAATTCTTTATTGCTAGAATTAAATATCGTGCGCACATAACAATTTGTACACTTATAAATGTACAAATGTATGTATGCCATCGCTCTACTTTAAAATTATTCTCCTTCAAGACTAATTGCTTATCAGCTACATATGTCCTCCCAGCAAAAATGAAGAAAAGTAAGTACAATTTTCAATCACTTTCCTTTCCTCCACCTAAACTACATACATACATTGTATCACATTTTTTCTGCTGACCAACAATTTAATCTCCTTCAAGGAACTATTTTCCCTCACTATTATGTGTCTGTGTCTGCGTCTGTACCAGCAGCATGAGTATTTTGTTCATCAAATTATCCGCCTCCGTGTCTTCCATACTGTTAAGTTTTGCCGAAATGAAGCCGCAGAACTTGGAGTTCAACACCTCACGTACAGTTTGTGGCGCCGGCATATCCAACATACATCCGCCCATGCTACTTAAGCCACCCCCACCGCCAGAGCCACCATTTTGCTGGCGCAAATGGCGATGCTGCTGCAACATTTGTCCTTCGTAGTCATCCTCATCGTCGACAGTGCCGTCCATTGCATCACCGTTCATGTCACGTCGTTTTCGTTTCATGGAGCTGCCAGCTACGCCACCAGCACTACCACCTGCAGCATTACCCACATTGCCGCCTGCTGCGCTCATAGAACGCGGCGAATTCGCGTCGAGTATAAGCGGATAAGGAAAATCAGCATCTATTGCTTCCAGCTCCTCCACCTCATCAGATCCCTGATTACTCATGTCTGCATTACGCATTGAGGTCTCGTCACCACTGCGTACCGATGATGCGTCGAGATCGTCAAATGTGTTGCTGTGCTGAGTAGTGCTGTCGTTGCGCGTTGATGAGACGCGGCTGTCATGCGCAGCACTGTGTAGTTGTTGGTTTTGCTGTTGTGGCTGATGAGCGGGCAATGGATGGGGCGGACCGACAGCACTGACACTGCCACCACCGCCACCAAGGCCATTGCTAGCCGCATGCGCCGCTGACATGTCCAATTCCGGTTTCACATAGTAATAGTAGTCTTCGTGGCTCATATTCAGGCCGGATGTACATTTTGACAGATTTAGTGCGCTTTCATTGAAAGATGAATGCAAGGCGCTTAGTTTAAGTGTAGACTTACTGTTGTTATTGTTGTTATTCAAGTGTTGGGAGAATGCGCTCAAATTAAGACCAATGGTTGCATGTTCTACTGCGTGTGAACCACCTCTGCAAAGAGGAAATGAAAATTGGATGGAGAGGGTAAGGAAAGAAAAGAGAAAAAAATTGTATTAGATACCATTGTCAAAGAGAATTATAATTATGTAAAAATATTCATATGTATTAAAATAAAAGTACATCTTATTCATTAACAAAAACCTTATACCTAAATCAAACTTGTACAACATTAAAAAAAAAAATAATCCAACAAATTTTGGTAAAAATGTTAAGCTTGTTGAATATATCTCTGAAACAGATTTTGCGAAAGCAGTTTTGTAGCCCATTCAATTTTAGTATAACAAAGTGCAAGTGTGAAGTAGCTAACGGTGTTGTTCATCTATTTCCATACAAAGTTTTGTTCCACGACAGAAAAGTCACCAAAGAAATTAACAGTGGAAATATTGGAGTCTAAGGATATGACTACGATTTTTCGAGACAGCGAGGGAATTTTATTAATTGCCTACATTCCTTAAGGAACCAGAGTAAAAGGTTTATACTACAAAAAATAAAAAACCTTAGGGCACGAATTTTTTTCAATTTTTGCGCCGAGTCACGAAAGGCAGGAGTTTGTTAGGTGTCGAGATCTAAAACTGTTCAGCTACGCAACTAAATTCATCTGCTGATTTTGTCTTTATGTTAGTAAATCATTTATGGAGAGAGGATAGTATCGCTTTCTTAATGATGAAAAGCGAATCAGATATATCAAATGTGCTGGAATGAGAATGAGAGTTAAACTCCTGACATAAGCAACGGAGTGGCTCGTGTAATTCAAAATTAGTTTTACAAGCTTTCAAAAATAGGGGACAAAAGTGTCTTGATACACGAGAGAGAACATTAAGGCTTACTTTACCCAGAATAAGCGGAATTGAGCCTGTCAGTAATTTAACCATAAAAATTGTACCAAGCATTTCCCTGCGACTGACAAGTGTAGGAAGATTAATAAGTTTTAATCGGCTCGTATAAGGCGGAAGGTTATATTGAGAATTCCAACGGAAATTTCTTAGAGCAAAAAGTAGGAATTGTTTTTAAATTGATTCTATCTTGTCTGAGTAAATTTGATACCCTGATATTCAGCTTAGTATCCATTGTGATACCAGGGTCCACAAAACTGTATACCTATTTTAGATTATGGTTACCTATTGTATAAGAAACCGTTAGGGCCCGTACCGCCGCTCTAATCACCGGGGGCCGCTACTATTGCTGCCGCCCTAAGGCCGACAGTTCTATCGAGGACCGCCCGCTATTCACTGCCATCCAGGGCCGCCGCTATAATCATCGTCAACGTTAGGGCCCGTACCGCCGCTCTAATCACCGGGGGCCGCTACTATTACTGCCGCCCTAAGGCCGACCGCTATTCACTGCCATCCAGGGCCGCCGCCATAATCATCATCACCGCTAGGGCCCGTACCGCTGCTCTAATCACCGGGGGCCGCTACTACCACTGCCGCCCCAAGGCCGAAGCCACAACTGTGGGCCGCCCGCCATCATCACCGAGGACCGAGAACGCTAACTATCGCCAACCAGGGCCGCTGTCACCATTGCCACCATCAGGGCCCGCTGCTACTGTCTTCATTACTGGGGCCGCCGCCATTATCGTCGCCCCAGGCAGACCACTACTGCCCGTCACGAGTACGGTAAGCGCCACTACCATCATCGCCCAGTACCGCTGTCACCGTCGTAATTAAAAGGGGCCGCATTTACCCATCGCCACAATCGGGGCCGCATACAACACCACTGCGGGAGGTCGCTGCCGCCCTCATCATTATATGGGCCACTGCCAACGTCACCGCTGAGGCCGCCACCACCACTGCAAGGGAACTGCAGGCTGCCGTCGCCGTCACAACCACCGCGACTGCTCTCATTGCCACGCTCTTCGCTACGACTGACACGTACCACTGCTAATCTCGCTGTCACTAGTAACACTCCCGTCACCGTACAATTACCCGCCGGATAATCCCCGACACCGACTGCCGCGTCTCGCTCTTTACCTTCCGCTCTCCCCTGCACGACAAGTTGCCGGTCTTCTAGATAGCCGCGTGTGTGTGTGGGTGTGTTCGACTTAATACACAAATCATTGTGTTTTATTTGGTGGGGGTTAGTGGGACCTTCGCTGGACTCTGGAGCGGCTGAGCATACCTCAGCCTTCGACAAAACCCACCTCATAAATGGCTGAACAGCTCTTCGCGAGAAGTAAATTACTTTAAATTTTTTAAGATTTAGAGGCATAATATTTACTTTATACCAGTAAGCTATGCTGTTTAAGTCTGATTGTATCAAAAACTTTTCTTTAATTGAAACGTACGATTTATAAAGTTTTACATCATCTGTACATAGTGTTCATGCTTTGCAAATGCTTTTATTTAGAAAAAAGCAAAGAAGAATAAGTTCAGTAATCCAGAAGTACCGGAACGCAAAAAACCACATTTCGTGTCCAGAATTTGAGAAACAGCTGATTCGCGTTCTTTTTGTTTTTGTGACTTAAATGCAAACTCTTGGAAATTGAATTTTTTTTTGTTTTACAAATTTAGTTTTAAGTGTATAAAGATTGAAAATGCATTCACTATTCCTTAAAAGCACCAAGTAGGCAACATATAAACACAAAACAGCTGATATGCACTTTGACACTATCCATTTTTACCCGGAGAAAAAGTTCGGGCTGTTTCGGGCAGGAAGAAGAAGGCACTTACGATTCAATACGTTCCAATTTTCGCTCTCTATTACTCATTTTGCTGAGTACGGGAATGATTTCTGGGTTATTTCGGGCACCCGCGGGATCCCGCGTTGCGTACGGGAAATAACCTATTAAAGGGAACATGAAAACAGTTCAATGAGTCATTTGGTCATTGTTTTGACTTTAGCTGAAACAAAAACACCTTTCATGGAAACCAGAAAATTTTAATTCAACCGCCGACCATGCATTTGAAATTAGTCGTTTGGGAGCCATACAAAATGTGGATATTTACTGCATACATACATATGTATATACATAGATAGAGGAGTAATATAAAAACCTCATATCGGCACAATCAGTGGTATAGGATATATAACTTATAAAGCACCGATCTTGACGATTTTTGGGTGGACTTTGTATGATTACATATTTAGAAAATAGCTCGGCTAAAAGTCCAAGTGAAGTAGTTTTAAAGTAAAACTCCATATCTCTCTGAACAATCAGTTGTATGGAGGCTATAAGTTATAGTGACCCGATCTTTGTCATTTTCACTGTAAGCTTTCAGTTGATAATGATTTAAGACAGTCCGAAATTTCATAGTCCTAGCTGCATAAATGGAGGAGTTATAGCAAAAAATCTTATACCTGACCAATAAGTTGTAAGCTATATGTTATACAATAAAAAAAATACACTCGGTCACCAAATTTTAGGCGGATATCTCAAATACTGCCATTAAAAATAGCTTATCATAAAAATACAATCGCCGTTCGGAGTCGGCGTAAAACTATACATAGGTCCCTCCCCTTTGTGTGAAAACATCAAGGCGCACGCCACAAATCCCAGGAGAAGCTCGGCCAAATACTACCATACGTGTAAGCGCCAATCTAGTATTATTATTATCACGAATACTTAGGTTTAGATTGCGGTCAAACAGAAAGACAGGCGGGCATCAGCTCGACGTTCTGATCATATAAGTGTACATTTTCATGGCTCTATATATTCTTCTCCTGATACATGAAAACATCGGACCAAACTTATAATACCGTTTCATGTTCACGAAATGTATAAAAAATGGATTGAAAAAAAATTTTGACAGAAAATGTGTGTGTTATAACAGTGCATATGTATGAAAACTAGTACGTAAATTATAATTTGTATGAAGTTTAGCTTATAAATGCATATACAAATTTTAACTACAATGTACATTTACAAACATAGGTATGCGTCTACAAACCATGAAGTGAACTTCTCCTTTAGATAAGTATTCAGGGTTGCCACTTCCGAAAATAATTATTTACCATCCAATTGAAAAAAATCTACCAAATCTGGAAAATATCTACCAATAACTTTTATAATTATTTTAACAAAAGTTATAGTTTTGTTCCATTTTTTTAGTTATTTCTATAAAAATTAAAATTATTTATTAATGAACTTTGTATTTAACTAATGATATGGTATTTGAGATCATATTAATGGCATCTTCTCGGTTTTTTTTTTCAACCGAAAGCGAAAGTGATGAAACTTAAGGCAACAACGAAGCATCATCGTTTGAAAAAACTTCAACTGGAGTTATTATAGACAAATACATTGACTCAAACAGCCGCTTGGTATTTTTCTAATATTTACAATGTTCTTCAAGTATTTTTTTTTTTTCCTTTTTTCGTATAAGAATATTGTATTACTAACCAAACCCATACAAATCAGGGATTCAAGCTATATCCAACATTTATAAAAATTTAAAAAAAATCGTCTAAATTTCGAACTTTTTACACTGAATTTTGACAACAATTTTGGGTATGCAGTTTTATCGTCGCCGGTCTTTTGTGTTTTTTTTTTTCATTTAGTAATTACCATTTATAAAAACTGGTGTTTATTTAAAATTTTTTTTTTTTTAACAATCATGGTGTGTATTAAATGCCTGTTTAATAATTTCCAGTAAAATGAGTTTTGAATGGAGCACGATTTGTTCACCTTTTATCGATATGTATGTATGGTAAAATACAGCGGCTCCGCTGGCTTGGCCATGTCGTTCGAATGGACACCGACGCTTCAGCTCTGAAAGTATTCAACTCGGGGTTGGTGGTAGCAGAGGAAGAGGGAGGCCCCCACAGCGATGGAAAAACCAGGTGGAGAGGGACTTGGCTTCACTTGGCAGAAAAGAAACGACTGGCGTTCTTTGTTGAACTCGGTCAAAATCACTGAGGCGGTTACAGCGCCAAATAAGAAGAAGAAGTTGTATGTATATAAAAAGTGCGCATTAAACCGTTTGAAAATTAATGAAATAACGTAGACAACACTTTTGGAAAATAATTTATAATATACATAAAGCTAACTTAAA